CTTTCTTTCTCTCTCTCTCCTCTCAACTCCCGGGCCTCTCTGGTGAGTACAGGTGCCCTATACCCAATTAATAATAATAATAATAATAAATAAAGTTAAATAAAGAATTCTTTAATTTCAATTTTCTAATTTCCAGTGCCCTAACCAGCACCCCACCTGCTGGCCCCAATAAATAATTCTTTTTTTTTTTTTAAGAATTGTGGGGGTTTTTTTAACTTTTATTTTTATTTATTTATTTATTTAAATTTGACCAGAGAGGGACAGAGAGAGAGAGAAAGTGAGAAAGCAAGCCGCCAGATCCAGGACTCAAACTGTAGTTGGCCATGTGGGAGTTCAGCACCTTAACGACCATGCCACCTGCTGCTCCCCCAATAAATAATTCTATTTTTTAAAAAAAGTAGTTTTGTGGCAACCCACTTTGGAAAAAAAAATCAGTGGAGGATTTTTCTCTTATCCAGTATCTAAAATGCTTGTCTATTATAATTCCAATTTTGAGACTTATTCTTTGCAGTGTAAATTCTAGTGCACTTTGGTCTCATGTTTTAAACAATCAAATGAGAATATGTTTGTATGACTTAAGATCGTTCTATTTGTGGTTCAGATTAAATAAGGCTGAGAATGTCTGGCTGCATATAACCAAGCTCTGCAGAAGCGAAGGTTATACCGTGGGAATGTGTTCATAGGGAAACTGCACCTAATAAATGTTACAGTCCTAGTTTGTTCCAGCTATAGTTTTAATTCCACTCTGAAACACAGTGTGTGGAAAATGGAAAAAGATTAGATTGCTGCAGAGAGGGATAAAGTAAAGTACATCTGATTCTGGGACTTTTATTTCAAACAAAATTTAAAGTTATGTGAAATTCTTTATGTTATTTTCTGAATCCTGCTCACTTTCCTGGGTAGAAAAATAAATCCCTCTTCCAGGCTTATAATCCTTCTATCTACATGGAGTCTACACTTTCAAAAATATTTCTAAGTCAAGGGAATTAAACCAAATCCAATCTTAACATACAATAGCTCCGAAATATACACTGCACTTAAATTCAGGTCTGTGTTGTTCAAGTGACACGTGAAACATAACCAAGAGTCTTCAGTTGGTCTTCAAATTGGTATGTCTGCTACATGTGTATCTATTTTAAATAGAGATCATTGAATATTTTTGTGCTATTATTTATAAATGTCCTTTGTTTCAGAAAATTTCCAAACCGCTGTATAAACTACAGTCTGCACAGTTTTTTGCTAGATCCACATAAAATTGATTTCTAATTGTTTTGCAACCATGAGTACATATTTGTCTCTCTTCCTCTGCCAAACATTGAAACAAAAGCAATTTAGAGGGCAAAAGCAGAAAGACTTCAAAGTCAGAAGTCCTAACTCCAGCACCAGCTCCACCATCACCTACTCCACGTTGGACAATGTTCTGAACTTCTCTCTACCCATGTCTTCAAGTCATACTTACGGATGATACTCACAAGACAGTTGTGAGGATTAATCAAAGAAATTAGGTTAAGATTTTAGCCAACAGCTCAGTACCATGTAGTGAGTACTCTAAAATATAGGAGGTACCTTTGAAAACTAGAAATTTTCAAAGCAAGGTTCACCCAATGATTATCATTACCTCATCAACATAGCAACATGCATCCTAGCAGGAGTAGTATATTTGAAAACTATGATTTAACCGAAATCCGTATTTTTTAAACAGGGAGCAAGGGACTATAACAAATAGTATAAAGGAGAAAGATTGAAGTTTGACTTTGCATACTAGGAATAACCAATTCTGATTGGTTCTTTTATTCTAACTCACCATTTTAATCTATAAAGTGGACCTGACCTATACATAGTAGTGTATGCTTGGCGAACGTATACTGAGAGATTAAATCAAAGATATTTTCTACCACAGCATTTTCAATTCTTTTATCTGTCTGGTGATATACAATCCCTTTCAATTTGAGGAAAAGCTATAAAATTAAGTGATATTTCTCAATATATCAGTCACTAATACTTATGTATTTCTCTCTACTATTAAACAGTGCAAATGTAGTTCTGCAGAGCATTTGTTGCATTTAAACTTCACCTGCAAAATGTCATGCTTACAAGGATTCTTCCTCCACTCCCACCCCAGGTCCACATCAGTAAGAGACCCAATAAGAATCCCATATCTACTTCCAGAAAATCATTTCTGAAATGCACCATATAGTTGACCACCAACATTTATCTTAAAGTTTGTTTTATTGTTCTCAAGTGAAATACCATTGTCCCTGATGTTCATTGTCCCTTAAAGATTATTTTATTCATTCCACAGGTCTCCTGTCATGGCTGGAGGTCTCTTTGCTGTGGATCGAAAATGGTTTTGGGAATTGGGTGGCTATGATCCAGGTTTAGAAATCTGGGGAGGAGAACAGTATGAAATCTCCTTTAAGGTAAGCCACCAAGACCCTCATCACACTGTGTCTACATAATTTTGACAATTCTGGTAGAACATCATTATTTCATTTTGCAACCTATGTTGTGAGATGCTTTAATAATGACCTTGGGACCAGCAGATGGTGTTACATCACTGGACTCCCATGTAGTCATAACAGTTAGAGTCCCAGACCCTGTGAATTAAAAGCCACGCTGGGCAGGTAAATGTGCGTGCCCACAATCCCGAAAGAATAGAAAAGAGATTGCAGCATGATCATCGCCCCTGCGGGGCGGGGGGACGATTTCTCACTCTCTGACTCTCTCTCTCTCTGTCTCTCTGGTAAGCACATGCAGCCTATAGCAAAAATCTCGCCCCTGCAGGGGGTGGGGGGTGGGGCGATTTCTCACTCTCTGACTCTCTCTCTATCTCTCTGGTAAGCACATGCAGCCTATAGCAAAAATCTCTCTCAGTAAATACATAAATGACCATAGACGTGTCACCTTCTCTAGAGAGATTTTGGATGAGAGATGCTACTTCTATCTGATGTTTCAGTGAGATATTGCCATGCCACTGGCAAAAACAAGTAATTCAAACTCCCACCTTCAGGTAGGAAAGTTGGTATGCCAACACACCCACTGTTCCATGGCAAGCGCATTCCTTTTAGAGGACATAAAACATAGAGATCTAGGAAGTAAGATAGATTAAGATAAACAAAATCAAGTTATTGAAGCTTTTGCCCATTCTATTTCTTCTGGAAATAGCAGTTCATATATATTTTTTAAGCTTGTTTATTTATTTATTCCATGAGTAAGAAAGACTGAGAGAGACACAGCACCCTCAAGACAGTCTTGACACTGCGATCTACCCCCAGGCTCAGTCTGTCCTAAATCATGAGCACATGCATACTGAGCAAACTCAGGGAGGTTTCTGGAACCTTCTCATGTGGGTCAATCTCAGAACATTATGTTTAACTGCTGTGCCACTGACTGGATGCATAGTTCACATTTTTATTATAACCAATTTCAGCAAAATTTTAAGAGCTTCTGAAGAGTATGCTTAAAAATATAAATGACAAATGAAATTTCTTCACACAAGTCTTAACTGAGAGTATTTTTTAATTATTTTTCATCTGAAATTGCCCAGAAGTCTACTTGCTTTGACCACAAATGATCAGTAAAATGACACATTACTATACACAAATACACATACACACATACGTGTGCACACACACACACATACACACAAATACATATTTATAATAGAGTATCGGTTGGGTATCTCATATACTAAATGTTTAAGGCAAGAAATGTGTTGATTGTGGATTTTCATTTTTTTATATATTTCAATTTATTTATTACATTCATTCACTGTACATCATTACAGCATACAAAATGAGATTTTCCATCTAGAGTACACTGTATATTGTCTCAATCAAGCACATCAACAAACATGTTATTGTCAGCAAATAATTTTCCATTTCTTGTTTTCTGTATGTTTTGCTCCCCCCCCATCCATCTTTGATTCCCTATCTCTTACCCTCTGCCATCTCCCACCCTCCTCCCACACTGTCTCTGGTATCTATGTTTGCTTTCTATACTCCCCCCCCCACATTTTATTGAATTACTAAAGATCTTAATTAATCTAAATGTTTT